ATAAATTATACGTCAAAAATTATTTATTAGATTGATAAATGAAGATTTATGGTTTGTTTTAATTTGTCTGAATCTTTTTTCACGCAGCTGAATGAAACTATCGAAATAATTGTTTTATTTATTATATATTTTTTAATTACAATATTTTTGTTACATATTTCTTTCGAGTTTATTCCAAGTCAATAGTCGATAGCCATTACATGTTTTTCATCAAACCCGAGAATTAACAGTGTTACTCGATCATTATCGCGAGCGCTGATTTTCCACAGGGGCCCGTTATCAGAGCTGATCGACAATAGCGTGTGATTAATGTGTTGGTAATTAATTGTGCTCCTAGATTGACGCGCATAAATCAGGTGGCGTAGAGGGAAAATTTAGCCGTGTGCACTTTAATGCAATATGTACAAATCGGCAACAACCGACTGATAAAATAAATTTCGTGAATGTAAATATGCAATATATCAGTGTTTAATATCAATTAATTTTAAATGCAATGCGCAATAAATTAAAACGTGTTATCGAGGCGTCGAGTATGATGTATTATTGCAGTAATATTAATATCACACAAATCGAGAGATAAATAAAACCTGGGAAAAAAACGGAAATTTTCGAGGTCGAGTTGAAGTATGTTTTTTGTATGGACTTGAGAATAAAAAACGGAATAAATTTTGAATCAGGATTTACTCATGTATGAAAAACAAGTAATATAATATATAGATTTTATATAACTTCCACACACATCTGATAAGGTTCTATCTTTTCTGATAACAAAGAATAAACAAGCAAAAAGATCTCTCCAATTTGAGAGAAAATTGTTATTTAGTCTGTCTAACTGATTTAAATAAATGTGAGCAGGATAAATAGATAGCACATGAGGAATTATGTACGTACTTGACCAGTTGGCAGATGTCAGCCGGAATTATCTCGATCTTGTTGTCCGAGAGATTAAGATAGGTCAGCGCTGGCAACTCTAGAAGCTCCCTCGGGATTCCACGGAGATCGTTGCACTCCAGATGGACGGCACGAAGTTTGGGAAACCTAGCGCGGGAATATAGAAAGAGAGAGATCGAGAGAATTACGTATGAATTAAGTACCAATTAAAGTTTCCACGTAGTTTCTCGCCGCATTTTGTTTCGCTATCGGATGTGCGCTCGCGCTTTTTCTTGCTCTTATCAGAGACGGATTAATCTATCCGCTCTAATTATCTCACAATATATTTCAATTGATTTAATTTGAGAATGAAACTAAATTCAAAAGGAATCAAATGGGCTTTCATGTTAACCAGTATATAAAAAAAAATTATGTATGAATGTAGATATGAAGAACGCGTATATACCTGTGTAAAAGCTTCAAATTATTATCGACATTACTGAACTGGTTCCATCCCAATGCAAGCTCTTCTATTGCTGGGAAAGCAATCGCGCTTTCAGGGACTCTTGACAGGCCCCCTTTACTCAAGTCTAATCGTTTCGGACATGGCGATAACTGCGTAGCCTGTAAAAGTATTAAAACAATTCGATGTCTTAGATAAATATATTTAAAATAGTACACTTCTCTCTCTCTCTCTCTCTCTCTCTCTCTCTCTGGTTTTTATTACAACAAATCACCGAGCGAATAATTTAATCGAAAAAAAAATTATATATGCTAATAATATATAATATTAAAATATATATAATTATTATGTTATATTAGATTGCATAATATTATCATTTCAAATAAAACATTTATCTTACATAAATAGAGAAATGTCGTTATTGAGAGATGTCAGTTTGCTGGATATATTATTGTTAGCTAAATTTTAGCTGCAATATTCGTATGAACCCACATATGCCATTTACCTCGAACTCCAAAGAGTCCGTGTCTATATCGTTCCTGTCACAATTATTGTCCATGATCAAGCAATCAAATTCTTGATACGCACCATCTTCTGCACAGCCGCCTATTCTTACATAATACAAAAACACGTGTATTTTCTCATTGGACGCACAATTAATCGTTTAACATTAAAATCTTGATATATCTTGATGCAATGTTATTCGCGAAGCAAAGCACATAATTTCGTTATATGGAATATAATAGTTCCATTTAAAAGTTTACTTATAAAAAGGCTCACTTTTGTTTTTTGTACATTTAATTTCATATCGGTGTATTTCTCTCGTCAAATTTTTGTCGGTCCTTTAAAATGTAAATTGTATTTTAATTAATATTGATTTCGATATAAATGACGTTCCGTTCCCTCGCAATTCTTTGTATATTACAGCGCTATAGTTACGCTTAAATCAATTCGTTCGTTAGCGTAGAGACGAGAAGGATCTCGCTTAATAACGAATCAATAATTTAACAATATTGCGCATGACCCGATGATTAATCAAATGTGAAGGGTCTGTACTCGCCGAAACAAACGTTTAAATAAATTTTAACGTTATAATTTCGTCACGTTGTTCCGATTTGTTCTCTCTTGAACGCTCGCATATTCGAAATTGTAAAATGGCCGATCGATGTGACGCAATTATCGGAATGGGTACAAGTTAAACGCGAACTGCTCGCAAATCTAAAATAAAGCGATGTACGCGTAGTGAATAATAAAATAAAAAGCTTTACGTAAAATTTTACATATTTATATAGTATACATATATTTTAAAAACTTTTCTATATATACGGTAATATAAATTATGCCTCCATACAGAGTGCCACATAACTGTATTTTTTTTTGGCTAGAACTCTGCAATAAATTTGAAATCGATAAATTGTAAATTAATTATTTGTTAATAAAATCCAGTTAGGACTAAAAACATTAAGAGAAAAACACGATTAAAATATTTACTTATATCTTTTGCAAAATTTAAATTTAAACAATTGATAAAATTGAATAAAATTTACCTTTGAAAATAATTTAAGTCGCACATCGAATTAATTACTTCGGATCTGTTTATTTTGGATACGTGCCAGTAATAATGCAGTCTCCGCGTTGCATTCTTTGCACGCTACATCTTTCGAAAACAGCAAGTTGGACGGTGTTTTATCGTCGGGCGAGTTAAAGATTCATAATACATTCAGTCTCGTTGAACTTCATTGTAAGAAACCGGCGTAAAGTAGCGCCGGTGCACGAGCAATATTTGTGCCGACAAGTATTGTTCTGCTCGTTGCGCCGGCTACGAATAGCCTCATTGTCCGCGCGGCGAACTTTCAACCGAACAATGAAGACGTCAGTCAGAGCTTTCTTATCGGCGTTAGATTCGTCCGCGATCGCGCGTGCGAGAAGCTCCCTAAAACAATACGACGGAAAAATCCGCTGCGGAAGTATCGTTAGAAAGCAGAACGCGCATCGCGCATCGCGCATCAAATCAAACTATAACGAAAAATGAAAATGTGGATAGGCTCCATATTATTTCATCGTATTGAGGATAATTCTAACAGAAGTGTTTTCATTTACATTTATGGATACAAAAACATTATCATTAAAAGGAATTTCCTTGACTTTCCTCAACTTTCAAGATCATTACGGAAAATGAAAATGTGCGAAAGACCTTTCAATTGTTCCGGTATTTTTATTTATATGTATAAACATCTTCTTGGATTTTTAGATGAATTTTTATGCTATTTTTTTATCTTGATTGTAAATAAGGTAATCGAGCGGAAAATGTTATCTTACGTTTTGCACTCTTGGATTTTTGTATTTTTTTTCAGGAAGAATTATTCTCTTTTTTTAAATTAAATTATGATTTTTGATGTCACTCTAGAGTTGGGAATTATTAGCCAGCTTACTAATAATTATTATTCTTAACTTGACGAATCTTTGACATTTGGCAGCTTCTTGACGCTAAGGATTCGCAGAAAATGAGAACACCTTCTTAGGCGATAATGCAGTTTGCCGTGGTAATCGCAAGCCTTTTCTTTGGGACGCCATTAGGGAAAGTGCCACCGTTGATGAAGGGGAAAATAGGATTATACGAGGAAAAGCGAGCAAGATATCGCGTCATATCGCGGGAGAGTGAGCGACTCTCGAGTCGCGAGTGAGCGAGCACGATCGTCGCGTGATGACGGTCCGTTAATTTCCGGTCGTGGGACGCATCAGATCCAAGGGAAAAAGTGCTTTTATATCGTACAGATTCGATATTTATATAGTCGAATGTATCGTTTTCATAATCTCGGAACCAATTATTTTTAAGGCGTTCATAGCCTCAAGACTTGAAATAATAAAATTTATTCGAGCGTTTTCGTGAGCGAGGTTCCTTAGAATTTGAATTCCATCTTTTTATCTCGATTTCACCAATTTCCTGACGATAATTTCCCATCGGAACTCGGTTTGATTCTAATTTTCGATCGCGACTCGAATTTGCTTGGCCGTCCTCGAGTTTTCCATTCGATCCGGAACTCGTCGACCTCCTCCTCGAGGAGGAGAACCGGCGACGAATAATAAGAAGAGCGAAAAGAGCAAATTCGCGTCGGTATCGGTTGGTCGACACGACGATGGCGTGAAAACGAGAAGGAAACGAGACGAAACGACGTTCCCAGCTAACGGACGCGCTTAGCTCACCGTGAACAGACGTAGAGGTAGAGGAAGCGAAAGGTAGCGAAGGGATGATAAAGAACGAAGATGGAGAAGAGAGAAAGAAGAAGCTCTTTTCGGATTTCCTCGATCGTCCGCGCTCGTCGATGGTGGCTAACGAGAAAAGTAACTTTCCCGGTGATGTCGGAAAAGTTTGCGGCCGGTCGACGATACTGATGCGTCGTCAAACGAAAATCCGCGATAATCCGCCGCGCGAGAGCAGATGGAACGGTCTTCTCCCGCGCGATGAGAATCACTTATTTAATATTTTAAAACTTTCTATTTCTTTTTTTTTTCATCAGCGAGTGCGGATGTAAAGATGCACGTTCATGATAATATCGACAATATTATCTTGACACTCTTATAACGGAGATAAGTATCTATATCATTTCTGTGTACATCGAGAATGGCAATCGAGTAAATAATGAATTATATAAAATAAAATAGATACGGCGTGAGAGGGAAAGAAAGAGAAAGAGAGAGAGAGAGAGAGACACGCGTGAGAAGATTATTATGAGATGTAATTAGCGAGTACTGTTACTAGATCGGACGCGCGAATTCGTTTAATACGGTGTACCGTTTGGCACGTGCGGAATAAATTCATTGTGAGAATTATGTAAACAGTTAAACGGATCTCTTCAATGTGTGGAGAGAACAATCGTGGTAATTATGCGGGGAACATGGGAGGAAGATTAGAGACAAAAAGTAGCTGATTATGAAAAGTTGATGATTAAAATTGTTGCTGTTGTTAAAGCGCGTTAACTCTAATCAATAATACAGAATTGTCACATCATATAGTGCAGTTCACAATCACAAAATCACAGTTTGATAAACAATATATCGATATATTATAAATGAAAAAAAAATGAACAATTACTTTTAAAATTAAAAGATTAACTCATAAAATAAACTTATATTTTTTTAAAATAATATGTATAATTTTGAATAAAAATCTTATATATATAAGTAAAAATCCGCGCGAAAGTATTTTTTATGATAAAATATAAATCGCGCGCGATGTGTGTATTATGTAAATTCTCAATACATTATTATTTTATACGATCTAGTACAAAAAATTTTATCGACTATCAAATTTACAATAATAAAATACAATTATTTTGTATGGCAGATAAACATTTTGTGATATCTTCGCAAATTTTTACTCGATTGTAATGTTTTTTTTTTTTTTAGATTAATGCATCGCAAAGTGGTTTACGGTTTGTTTAATAATATTATTCACGAAGTCAGATTAATCTCGCTTAATCGATTATTGGACAACCGCGTATCAGTGGTTTCCACGCGGACGGTTAAAAATTTCTTACCACAACCGATCCGTTCCGATTAATTTCCCTGGGATTACGTCGAGAGGGAAAGGCGACATTCAAACGCGCTCTCGAAAGCTTCTTTGACGTTTCCAACTTTTAATTAATTGCCCAATGCGCACGTGGCGATTGCATTTATCTTGCAGTTGTTGCGCAATTCGAGTTAACAGATGAAATTCGAAAACGATTTTATTAAAGTTGAAAACAAAGTGTCCCGGAAATCGATGTAACGGTCCTATCTGTCTTATATTTGTGATCAGAACATAGCATAGATCTCGTTTCTTTTAGTAAATTTGAGGTAATCTTCCTCAGAGTAAGAATCATTCACGTGTATATATAGTTTTTATAAAGTTTAGATATTTCTAAAAATTGCACTTGCAAGTAACTGATTAAATTTAATCTTCAGTATCAAACAGCTTCATGATTACGCTACGCTGTGAATCCTTTGACGGACTGAAAATTTGCGAAAGTACATATTCCTCGAGCTCAATGAAAACTTTACGGAATACCGCCGTAGCATTCGGAATGAACGTCGCTCTTTGGCATCTTAATTCCACCAATTTCCCAACGATAATTTCTTCTTGTCGAAGCTGGACACGATCGCGAAAAGTAACGGTTTCAAT